ATTTCACTGGATGGTTCAAAATATTTCACTGGATGGTTCAAAATATTTCACTGGATGATTCAAAATATTTCACTGGTCCATTGTTAAATAAGAGTACCTCAAGAGTAATTCCCTTGATGACATCTACAGGATCAATGACATTCCCAAGAGATTTACTCATCTTCCTTCCATGTGCATCCCTGACCATGGCATGTAGGTAGACCTCTTTAAAAGGGAGTTTGCCAGTCAGTTTTAGACCCATCTTAACCATACGAGCCACCCAGAAAAACAGAATATCATGGCCAGTCTCTAAAAGTGTTCCTGGATAAAATGCCTGTAGATCTTTTGTCTGACAAGAGATAAATAAGTAAGTGAATACAGCCTAACACTGCTGAAGAGTAAAAAACAATTTCAGGCTTAGAACAGGATTTGTACCCATGGCCTTTGCCATATCGGAACAATGCTCTAATCACCTGAGCTGTGTAAGCCACAGGGGTAGACTAAAGGAGAGGTCAATCAATCAATCAGTCAATAACTTTATTAAATAAATGTGTCAAATTCTAGAGTTCCACAGGTGGCAACACTAACAGGGGACACCATACACCATTATCATACTGTTTTTTTATATTCTGGGTAAGATGATTAACGGCTTGGCCCAAACCAGACAATAATAATATTATAGATTAAAGTCATACAGCAGCAGAAATAGATGAACGAGTAGGGGAATACCACTTCAGCAGTGTCAGGCAATACATTCACTCATTTATTATCTATTTCTGCTGGTGATACGACATTATCTATCATATGTTATCTCAGAAGAGATTTCAAAACAAAAAGTAGTGAATGAATTGTGTAAAAAATATAATGAAATAATCATTCTCTATTACCTTGTCTGGCCACCCAAATATGGAGAATGGAAACAAAGCAGATGAAAACCAAGTGTCCAGCACATCTTCATCTTAAATTAACAATTCAAAATTATAAGTCTTATATAATTTAACATATGATTTATTGAAGTCTGACAACACGTCTGATAATATTCTCGGTATAGATTCTACATAAGCTAAGCTGTTCAATGACCAAAAAATGTCATAGTTTGAGTGATGCATCTTGAAGTCATAAAGGTTTATCCTCGTCATATGCTAATAACTGTGTTGTCAGCAGGRGAGTCATCATTGAATATACATTATCAAACTCATTAATAATTCATGAATAAAACACAACAGAAATCATGACCGCGAAGAGTGTTGTAAATCTGATACAAAATTGTGTTCATTTGCATAAATTTTAAGTTGGATTTTCTTGGCCAGATTCTCTTTAATTTTGAAAATTTTAGTGAAACACAAAGGAACTAACCTAGACGTTTGATAAGTAATATACATGCACAGTATGAGTGTCCGTGTTTTACCTGATATAAAAACTCGAGGCATGTATATCTGATACAACACGGCCACTCATACTGTATATATTACAAACGTAACAGGTACAGAAAAAATAAATTTGGAAAGCACTGTTTCACCAATGGCTCTCATAAATAATATTGCTAATTAGTTTTCACATAATAGCCAGTGTTTCAAATTACAAGGAACAACAAATAAACATATATTCCTCCAGCCTCTGCTGTCACAGTCATTAGCATACAACAAGAATAAACCTTGATAACTTCAAGACGCATCCCTCAAACTATTCAACAATTTTGGTTAATGAACATTGAACAACTCACCTTATGTAAAATGTGTAGTTCCAAAAATTATCCATACCCCCCTCACGGAAGAATTTTTTTAAGCCACCCCCCTACCCCCCAGAAATTCTAATTTTCTTCCATACAAACTCTGTAATTTTTGTTCTTTCTCTGACCCCCTACTTTTCGGAAATTCCAAATTCCTCTGTGGGGTGGGTATGGATAATTTCTGGAACTACACAATATACTGAGAATATCATCTGATGTATCAAGCAGTTTAAAAAATAAGGAGTACACATTAACTAAAAATCTTTATTGGTTGTATTCAAAAATCAAAGCAGCTCTGAAAAAAATCAGTACTGCTTTAATATGCAAGTATAATGGAATGCAAGTGATATTGGTAACAAAAAACACATGACTATTTAGCAGGACTGTAGTTTGTTAATCACAAGATTCAAGTAAGAGTTTGCTGACATAAGACATTCATAAATGAATTTAACATGTAATTTATGTTACAAACTTATTCAGAATAAAATGTTAGAAGTCTAACCTTGCCTAAGCTGGATTTGGTCCTCTGCAACACCAAATCGTTCTGCAGCTTTTTTCCTTGCTTCTTCCTCTGTTCTTCCACTGAGATAAAACACAGATAACTGAATACTTTTGTCCTGAACTGGATAGACTATGAAGGCAATGAGCTATATTGTTACCCACTATCTTGCTTCTCATTGGCTGAGAGCCCTCAGTCAAACTATATTGTGTGAACTTGACATGTTACATGTATTATCTGTGGGTTTTTCTGCACATTATACATTTTATCATGTCAAGTTCATGTTTGCTTTTTTTCAAATAAGCAGAATTAAATCTTAATTCTTAATTCACAAAATGTATTCAAAAAAATTTGAATCCAGTTTTTGCAAGATATCGTTAATTATCAGCCTACAGCTTCTGCAGATAACATGACATTGATCTTGATAATGGACTCTGCTCAAAAGTATCTTAGATGCGAGGCTAACGTTTAAATACAAAAGAAATTCTACGAATTCCATGAAAAAAGCGTGTTTTTTTTGTATTTCCATGTTTGCCTAAAATCCATGACAGTTTGAGAAAGTTCCATTGGTGATAAGTGTCATGTGAAAACTGAATTTTAAATAATTGTTTACTATATCCTGTCTAGTTAAGGGAAGAACCGGTGGCGTGCGCTGCTAATGCGCCGCCTCTCACCAATGCGGCCCGAGTTCGAGTCCTGGCGATCTCAATGTCATATGTGAGTAGAGTTGTTTGTTGGTTCTCTCCTGTGCTTTGAGGGTTTTTCTGACTCCGGGTTTTCCGGTTTTCCTCCCTCCTCAAAAATCAACTTTTAAATTCTAATTTGATCTTTGGGCTTTCACTTAGTTTGGAGCCTAGCTCTGTTGTGATTGTCCCATGCTGTGATACGACAGCGAAAAGCTCTGTTGATTTTTTATTTAACATTAAAGTTCAGTGCGTTAAGCATGAATTTCAATTGGCTGATTTTTTTCTCACGTAGTGCATGTGCTTGGTCTAGCAGTGCCGTGACTGTGGCATGAGCATGTCTGCACCATGTTTGTATCGTGTTCTGGGTATTTGATTGGATAGAGAGTAAATTCTCACGCGATATGATTGGTCTGGCATATGCCTTGCCGTGTAACGACTGTGTTCGTGCCGTGAGCTTTTCACAGTCATACGAAAACAGCTCTACTATTAGGTGTCTTGCAAAATACATAATCTATTTACCTGACCCAGTATTTACCATCTGTATCCTGTAAAACAAGGAAAAGCATTGGTCAGATATAATATTAGTAGAAGCTAAATGACATATGATAATGGTTACATTAAGCAGATGAAAACTGTACCTCTCCTGCAGGTATGGTAGCATCATTAATTTTGATAAAGTATGCAGGAATACGATGACCCCACCAAAGCTGTCGAGATATGCACCAATCCCTTAAAAAGTCAAGTTTCACAATAGTAAGATTAAGATTTAACAACAATATACCAGTTAGGGTTTCTTCAAGTTTTGAAAATAATATAAGATAATATCAAAGACAAGCCATAGACTACCTGCAGTTTTCCAGCCAGTTGAACCACGTCTTTTCATGTATACTGGGAATAAGCTTCAACTCCCCCTCACGAACAGCCTACAGAAATAAATGTAGGCATTGTACAATAGCAAAAACAAAAAACAAAAAAAACAGCAGAAGTACCTTGCATCTAAAGTATTATTACCTTAACTGCCATCTCAGCCATGTCTGTGCAGTCAACGTACCACTGAGGTTTGATTAAAGGTTCAACTATGTCTTTAGATCGGCTGAATACAACATTGACAATGAAATGTATTAATTCCAGGAAACATTTGTGTCTTTTTTTATAATAATTAATCTTTTCCAATGCAGGACACGTTTTACAAATAGTGTTCTCTAATGAGAAGCCATTTTGATTAGCCTTATTATGGTGGTCCACACTAAAAATACTTATTTCCTTTGCCATTTGTGTTTAATTTCATTGAAGACGTCCATCCTAAAGTTTTACCTCAATTTAACATTTTTTTCTATCATTTTTAGACCTAAAAGGTCATAGCATTTTTTTTTCATATTTTGTTGCATTACGATATGTTTACAGATAGTTGGATTTTGGTGTATACTGTAGTCAGTTGACAGCCTTGATCACACTAGCATCATAATCCTAGTATGTTGCAATAGTAATCTTCCCACCAGCTTCAAGATTTTCAGCATGGCAGATGATGGTAAAGAGCATACGCAGTAATTGGTAATCTTTATGATTACATTTTATTGGCTCAGACTAGTGTCCACTCATCAACCAAACAAAACATTCCCATCCTAGCTTACAATGCACCTTACAACAGCGCTTAAGACTATGATTTATCATTCACACTGGGTTTTAATGCTGCTTAGGATGTGAATGTGATTACCATAATGGTTATGATACTAGTGAAAAATATGTGTTAGGGCTTGAGAATTCAACTCTTACACTTGAGATTTGTATACAGACACATACAGAAAACCATGAGGGGTTAAACCCTATATTATTTATATTAACATCTACAGTATTGTATATAGGTGTACCTGCATGTAGGGACTACCATGGGGTATATTAACATCTACAGTATTGTATA